TAAAAGCATGACAGGGGTTTCATATTGTAAAGCATCGGCAGGTCTGGAAGAAAACAGGATTTCCATATGGTGAACGATGAACAAAGCACCCTCCCGTGGTATGGAAACCATACCTACAGCCATGCCTAAGCATCACGCTGTGAAATGAAGACCCCATTTTTTTTCTGGAGGAGTGTTAGGTAGCACTCTGTCAGGAGCAGATCATCCTGGCCTGGGCTTGCTTCTTTCTTGATCCCTTCCCACTTCCCAGTTCATCTCACAAACCCTGAAAAAAATATCCAGGTCTTAAAAAATGGTGGTTGAAATGAAAGTGGAAGTGGCGAACAAGAATTTTTTTAAGACGGCAATAAAGAGAGGAGTTGACGAGTCTGTCGGCTCCAGAGGTAAAAACAGCTAAAGGTTTCAGTAACCAAATCTGAAATGATTAATTATTCTTAAAGACAGTTAGGTAACGTTTCTAAATAAGCTGTGATCAGAAGCTATAGAAGTAATGATAATCTACTATAATCTATTAACAACCTAGTATTTTACTGCTTGACAACCCAGTCGTCTACTGCCTGCCTCCAGAAAGGAAAGCGTAGACCCGTGAACCGGGGGTCTGCGTTCAGAGCAGGTTGCTCAGGGCTTTATCCACTCGGATCTTGAAGACCTCCAAGGATGGAGACTGCACAACCCCCCTGGGCAACCTCCTGCAATGCTTGAATCTTCCTTATTAGCGTGTCAGAAATGGATGATGCTCTGAGGACGGAATGCCCCTTTTCTAGAGCAAGCTCTGAACACGTGCCGCGGCTCTGGCTGTGCTGCGCGTCCCTTGCCTCCAGCGGGACCGGGAGGTGCCGGTCCTTGGGGCCATGGCTGGGAGCCTCTCTCCCAGCAGATGTTTTTCCTGAAGTCTTGTGAGCACCGAATAATGGGGAGGGTTACACCACCTGTCTTACTGACTCCTGCTCCTACACCCTGTTTGTTTGCTTTTCTTTTCCCTCATTGAGCAGCTGAATAATTTCGAGCCTTATCACCCACCGTTCATCGTACTTCTCTGATGGAGTGGTCCGCAAATCTGCCGGCACGCGGCGTGGACCGCAGGCTGCTGGGACAGATGTTGATCAGTTCCTGCTCCGGGTCTGACTCCCTCGGGACTTCATTCAACGCATCTTCACGTCTTGGCAATAAAGATGAACAACTGTGCTCTCCGTCTCTTTAGTTAGTACTCACATTATAGTAAGCAAATCTAAACTCTACTGCCCCGGTTTGCTTAAATTACACAGAAAAGAAAAACTTTAGTGATGTCAAAATGCACACATCTGCTGGTCCTTTTCCGTTCAGAAACACAGTTTCCATGTTTTCAAAGGAAATTAGTTTGTTCTGGCATCATTTGATATTGGATATTACTGACGCGATAGTTTTCAGAAACGCCTTGGTTAGAAAAATAGTTTATTTGCTTTGATTTGTGAATGCTTTTAGAGCCTGTGAGGACTTTTGCCATTGCTGTTCCTGCTTTCAAAAGAGCTGAGATAAAGTGTTATTTTTGTACCTACGAGTGTGCATTATTTATAGCGACAGCCCGGCCTATGCCAGCGTACCGTGATTGCATTCGGTGAAAGAAATAAAGAGTGACATTCAGAGATGCTGCCTCCTGATAATAATACAAAGCATTTAGATGAAAGAACTACTTATCAGCTCCCATGCTGGAAATATAGTTTTATAAATTGCTGTAATTTCACTGAATTTACTGAGAACCTGCCAGAAAAGAGGATAATTTATAACAATAATAAAGTGCTATTTGTTCAACAGAGAAGAGAGGTGAGTCCTCATGCTTAAAATGACTCAAGCAATAGGATTTTTTTAGCCATGCATACTTCTGGAACAGCCAAACCATTTAGAAAGTTGTCTTTCTGAGAGATAGCAACTTCTCCTCCTCTCTTCTACCACCAAAACTACTCAAGAGAAATGCTAAGGTGTCTTCCTCGTTCCCATCCCAGCCAGTGCCAAAGCTACCACCCAGGCTTTTGTAGGCGTCAGCTTCTTTTTCTCCTCGTTACTTGACCAAATCGGCAGAATTCGAATGCCTCTCACTGTACGCTCACCCCGTGACGGACAGGACGATGCTGCCACTGAACAATACCATGCTCGGAGGAAAAGAATAACCCCCAAGACTGCCCATTAACCAATTGCTACCAGCAATTAATGAGCTGCATGTACAAAATGTAGAAGTCAATGCCCTCTACCCAGCCCAAGACTGAGCGTGTCGTCGCACTTAGAGCAGATGTTATCTATGGAGCTGCCCGTGCACAGGTAAATGTGCAAAGGGCACAAGCAGAAAATACTAAAAACCTTCTTTCCAGAGGCTGCTGGACCCCAGGCGCAGAAGATGGTGCCCCTCCCTGGCTGGGTCTATTGGTGGGCACGGTCCCATTTGCTGTATTACACAGGTGTGCTGGGCAAAACGAAGAAAAAACTAAGTAGGAGTTATCTTTGTGGTTTTCATATGGCTTGAACAATTTCACTTCAGGACCAGTTTTTAATCTGCAATTATTTGTTTACCCTCCTGGTTTCCAGCACTGAGCTGCTTGATGCAGGCAGCTAGTGTTAACCCCACTTAATGCTCCCTTTAAAGCAGTTTTTATGTTGCCAAATTTAACGATTAAAAACCGGTCTGAGCACGTGCAAAAGTCCGTAGCTCGCAGTGAGCTGATTTAACATGAGCAATCATGGTAATCCCCCCGCTACCAAGAAATCCCCACCTACAACTGTGCTCTGTCTCTGAACCTCTCTGCTCTCGCCCCGATTACTCGTTACACTCATTAATCCTTCTCTAACGCATAACTGCTCTGTGTTCTTGTACTTAAGGGAAATTCGGGATTAGTCTGAGTAACAGCACTTTGGTTTTTTGCAATGCGGTGTAAGCTTTAAAGCTCCTGAACGTACCTCAATAACGGCAGTGTCATTGGTCTGCTTCCAGGAGGTGCCTGGTCTCCAGATCCTGCCCGTGCCCACCAGACACTTGGACCTGGCTCTGATCACAAACGAAGAGCTGGTAAGCATCAGAAATTATCACCATGCTACAGCAGTTGTGTTGTATTGGAGACAGTCCTTGGCGTTCAGCGTTGTAACGTAGCCCTTCTCCCCTCTCAGTTTAAAGTCAACAACTACAACGAAACCCTGGTGCTACATCTGTTCATCTCCATAAGGAACCTACTGAACACGGTGAGTTTTCATGACGCGGTAATTACGATGGCCGCTCCTTTGGCTGGCTCTCTCACCCGCTGCCCTGGGAAAGAGATGAATGATCGGTGCCTGACTGCAGCTGCTCTACCAGGAACTGATGCATTCCTCAACGCTGTAAAACCCACTTCAGCTGTTAAAAAAATTGCTTCAAATATGACTGAAGTCAGTTTAAAGATATTTTTGAAATCTCCCCGTTAAAACACTTGTTTGGGAATACGCATTATTGTTACTAAATGTTTTCTGGTAGCTCATTGCGACCTCCCTGTCTCTTCACCTCCTTCTTGCTCTGAGTCCTCCATCAGTTTTCATCTTGTGCTGCCTCCGTGTGAATACGCCAACAAGGCGCCGCTGCATCACCAACAAAACACTCAAAAATGAGCTACATCATTAAAATAATATAATACACAAAAATCAACGGCACGCTCAGCTCTTTCAACTTCAGCAAGAAACTGGTTCTTGCACAAATAACGCGGAGCCAAGCGCAGTGCCCAGGGTCGCTGCACGCCCCGTGGGTTGCAAGGGATGAAGGCTCTTGCTGTCTTCCAGGTGTACAAGCACATGAAGCTGCAGACCATCGTCATCGCGGTGGAGATGTGGACCAGGACGGACCAGGCGATGACCGCCCGCAGCCTGGCCCGGACACTGCAAGTCTTTGCTGCCTGGTGTCAGAGGGATGCCATCGGTCACATCAATTACGACCATATCCAGTTACTGCTGTAAGAGTCCTGCGTTTTAATCGCTCAGCTCACGTACCGGCTATGGGGAGATAAGCAGGGAGCAAGAATATTTTCATCTCTTTCTTCTTCTAATTTTTATATATATGTGCTGATAACTCTTTTGTCCTGGTGGTATCTCGTGGAAAAAAATGTAAGAGTTTAATCAGTCCATGTACTAATCAGCACATATTTGTCATGTAAATTGACACAAGAATTCGCTTTTCCCTTTCACTGGCCCCTTTTATATTTTTCCACACATGTACACACACAGAGTGTACAGCTTATTTTCAATTTTGATACAGTTGTCTGTAACTGAATTGTTTTAATCTCATTTTAGATTTTACTTATTTTTATATATACAAGCCACTCATTTTTTACATATAATAATTCATTGTTATATGGTTTACGACTCAATATTTCAACTAAACCTTTTTGCTAGGAGGAGGGAGTTAGATCTCAAACTGCAAGATGTTTCATTTCACTCATTGGCTTTTCAAGACCTAGCACCTTGTTTCTGTTTTGTCTGTTCCTTTTTCCTTCATTTTGCAGAAAGAAACCTTCTGCATAGTAAAGTATTTATTGAATATTTCTTTTTTCAAATTTAACATACTCTATTGCCAAATCTTTTTAAAATAATTTTGAATAATTTTATTTTATTGAGATAGCCTATAGGCCACTCTTCCCTTTTAAGTAGAGAGGAGGCCAACGAGTTTATAAACCGTGGCTCTGCCTCCTTAACATCCCCGCTAGCAGGATGCATTGCTGGTGCTTGCACACTTGATCTGTGGGTACCAGCCTGGCTGCATACAGGGCACTCACGGGAGAAAGGGGTGATGCTGGGCTTTTCTTCAAGACAGGAGCTCCTTGTTACCCCAAACCATTATTTTCCAGCTGTAATTCAGGCAACGCATTCCATTATCGAGACAAAGTTGTTCTGCATTTCTTTAATGTTCAAATTTTCCGGTTGCAGAGGCCAGCACTACAAGGAACGGGGATTTGCCTGGAAGGGGACAATGTGCCAGATGAACTCCATGGGTGTTGTCTCGGTAAGGGGAGTCCTCGCAGGTTTGCACCTCCTGAAAGGAAAAATAAACCTTTCGTATTCCCAGTGAACCTTGGGAGTTCTCAGGCTTTTACCGATTAGCAGGTAACACCTGTACTGGGCATCTAAAGGAGGTGATGCTGGTATTGGTTTTGTTGTTTCTTAAAGATGATGAGGTGATGAAGGAACAACTCTCCAGTGCTTCCCCAGACCAACTCTCGCTAGGTGTCCTTTGGTTTCCCTAACTGGTTGTTTGCCAGTGCAAGTCCCCAGCTAGCACAGATTTCACAATTACTGAGCAAAACATTAGAAATCTGGATCTGCAATTCTCCACATCAACATATAACATCTTGAGAAAACGTGGACCATCGTGAAGAAAAGTAATTCCACTAATGAATTAACATCTCCTGAAACCTGTGAAGAATATTTGGTAGATGTCAGCTTCTGTTGTTTTAGCATCGAAGAAACCATACAATATTGCAGGAACATCCTTGCAATGGTCAGCTCCACGTACTGCTGATAATACGACGTCTTTAAAAATGACTCATTCCTCTTAGCTCTAGAGGTCTGCCCAACACGCAGTGAACTTCAGCAGGCAGTGAAGGTTGCTTCATTGCAGATGCGTTTGCTTCCAAGTCCTAAGATCCTTTTCTTGGTGTGAAGAAATCCTCATCTCTCTGTCACTGTCTGCAATGCACACACTGCATGAAGACACAATGAGAAGGACACAGGCTCCACACTTAATATTAGACCCTTATCTTTACCAAAGACCAACTAAGCCTCCCTGAAGACATTAAGGATTTGAGAACCTGAAGTCTCCTAGCAGATTTGTCTGTTTTTTAACAACATCAGCATTGAAACAGCCATTTCAGTGGGGTCACCAGCAGTCCTGCTTCACCCGCTGATGGTCCCTCCCATCCCATCCACTTGGAAGTCACCTCCTTGGTGGCCCCAAGGGGACAGAGGACCCGGCACACAAGGGCTGGGGGGGAAACCTCAGCAAGTCAGAGCACTGTGTTTCATGGCTCTCGGATCCTTCAGCTTTTGCTGTCATCCATTCCAACAGTGACCTTGTTATCCTAACGTATTCATTAAATTTATGTTTCTGAGCCTCTCACTTTAGCCAAGAGTTCTTCCAGAATTCCTAAACAGCAATTAATCAACAGGTTCAGTCGACTTGTTTCCAATTTGGCTACAGTAATTTCCATGCCCATATTTATACATGAAAAAAAAAGAAAAGAAAAAAGGCTTTTTCCTCCTAAAACTGTCCATATTCCTCTTTGCTAGTTAATCTATTTGTTCTTTAAGTCCATCGATTCATTTATGTATATGGTATGGTTATACATAATTTTTTTTTCTTACAGATCTTGCTTGGCATTCAGTAATTGCACTATGGGAGAATATTACAATGAAGTAATAAGAAAGAATCTACCTTGTCTACTCAACATACCATCTTTAAAACCATTTCTTCTTGAACTCTGCGGTAATGGTGTCTTGGAAAAAGAGGAAGAATGTGATTGTGGTAGTGATGAGGTTAAAAATTAAAAATTTCACTGCAACCTACATGTTAGAGTAGTGTTGATAAAAGTGCGGTGGGTTTGCAACTAAAAAAGCTTACTGACTCATGGGAAGAAATGATCTTTGAAGTGTTTTACATTCAAACAAGCCCACTGGCTTCCACTTCTGTGAATTCCCTTGAAGTGGGGAATTTCCAAATATGGCTTTATGTGTGGGCAAAATTTGTGTAAACATACGCAGAGCATATCTAGGGGTAAACTCAGTTTTTCTTCTGCGGCTACAGAGGGACTTTTCCTGGCAGACTCTGTGCAGAGCTAACGGTGAACTCGGTCCTCAAGTGCCTGAGAAGGAGTCACACCGCTGGGACAGACGAGACCTCTCCATACCTCATCCAAACGGAAAGGTGTTTTCTTCTGGCTGTACTAATGGTCGTAAGAATGAGAGGTCTGAAGAAAACAAACGTACCTGAGCAGTGCTGCAACGTGGAGACTCTACAGAAGGGACATGTCTTTGCCTCCAAGCCCCTCTATATACAAACCAGTTGTGAGCACTTGCATCTTCTTGCTTATAAAACGAGAGTTTTTCCATTTCTGTTCTTTCTTACATTTACCCTGAAGTCAGTGAAAGAAGCGTTTTTCTGAAGCATTTGCATGTTGGTACCTTTGCAGCTCTGATTCCAGGTTCCATGCAGTTGTGACACTTTGGAAAGTTTGAGTTTTCCAGTGGAATCTCTTGTTTGTGTTTTGTGTAATCGTTACTTGTACAAAGCTCCTGTAGCTTTGTCAAAACTCAGCCTTTGCACTGACATTTCCCACACTGAGCGATTTGCGTGTGTATTATATCCAGGCTTGGGTTGAATATCCTGCACCTTGCTGGTAAAGAGGATTCACCTGCTTTAAGAAATTATGTTAAGAAAACCCAAATCCTACCACCTACAGCCCCCCAGGCCCCGGTCTCTCCAACCACTGGTCCCAGATCTCTTCTCCTCAATCAGGGACAGGGCTCAGCCATACAAGTGTCCTGACGAAGAGACCCTTTTTATCACCCCTTTTATCCCCCCTCTTTTCCATTTGCCCACACTTGTTCCTCCCCAACCCACCTTAATCTCTCCCTGCCTTTGGTCCTTTCCCTATCCATCCCACACAAACCATTACACATCCCCACATTTGCCTTAAAACCTCCCACGACAAGTTTTACACAACCCTACATTCTCTCTCAAATACCACATTACAAGTTTGGGTCCCCTTCAGGACACCCAAGAAAATCATCAGTGGTTTTCATCAGTGACCTGAAAGCTCTGGTCTTTGCCAATGTCCCCATTATCTCCTCTTCCTCAGCATTGCGTGATCCCTTCATTACTGCTCCTGTCTCCTTTCCTTGTTTTTATGCTACAAAGCCATTAACCAGCTCTCCTCACAAAGCAGATACCCTTACATCCCAGCTATCCTGAAACTTTGAGTAATTAATTGTGTTCATGTGACAAAGTTCAGAGTCCAACAGCTCTAGCACCCGGGGTGATTTGGGATTGGGAATTTGAACTTTTAAGGAAATGGTGGATCACTGCGGAAAGAGTTGAAAAAGGGAAGGAAGGAAATTACAAAAGAAGGGGGGAAAAAAGATAGAAAGGGAGACCAGTCTCTCCCATGGTGCTCAGCAGAGTCTCTGAGTGCTCTGGAAACATTAACGAACCTGTGAAGCAGGTAGATTGGCTGATTAACAGAGGAGATGGAAGCACTAGTGTTTGAAGAAAAATGTGAATTGTTTTAAAAGTGTCTACACGAGGCGTATTTCCCCTCGCCACAGAACTCCACAATGTCCAAAGTTTGAGGAGTAGCAGAAAAGAGCAGATGTTTTTCCCTTAATTTCCTTTAATTCTGTGTCTCTTAAGCTAGAGAAGACGATCCAAATGAGAAATTCTAACTCCGAGATGGTATGGCATTATTGACTTCCAGGCATGCCTCCAAGACGGATGCTGCTTCTCCTCCAGCTGCTTGCTTGCACCAGGGGCTGCTTGTTACAGAGGTGAATGCTGTCACAAACGTCAGGTAAGTTATAACAGCAACGCAGCTGCTCTTGGCTTTGTAATGTAGGCTAAACTAATGATTTAATTGGTTTTTCAACGCTGTTAGTTAGGTGCTCTGTTTAGTTCCTGTATCTCTCAGTATACCTGGTCTGAAAATACGCATAAACCTGACTGGAAACTGCTGATGCTTAGGTAAAGAACAACTAGTTTTGAAACACCGAAATTCTGTCAGACAAAGCCCATCAGCAGGAGCAGCAAAGCGAGGGTGTAAGGACAGAACTGAGCGACCCAACGCAAGCGTTGGTGTCATGGGCTGAACGTTCAATGATCACAAGTCCGGCTGGGAGGAAAGGGATTTTAAAACCTCACTTACACTCCTGCTGATTTTGAGCTTTTAGGGAAAATCCAGCAACACTGTATTTGTAGAGGTATTTCAGATTCGACCTGAAATGCACAAATAAAACCACAAGTTTCTCTGCTGGAATATCAGCAATCACCGTTTGCAATGTCTCAGTTTCCATGGGACAGCAACGACGTTAGCCCTTTATACCTTCCTCCCATCCTTGTTCTTTCTGATGTTTGGCAAATCCAAGTTGTTGTTCTTCATCTTGCACTTTTGGGGCGTTCCCTAAGATTTTGCCACATGGGTTTCAGTAATTTGGGCCAGCCACTCCTGAAAAAATCCATTCAAAACTCATTTTATGGGATTTTCTTTACAGTTTCAGCCAGCAGGAAAAATCTGCAGAGAAGACAGGAGCGTATGTGATCTCCCTGAGTGCTGCAACGGCTCCTCAGGGACCTGTCCCATGGATGTATTAAGGAAGACAGAAGCCCATGCAGTGACAAGGACCGCTGCTACGACGGCCACGGCCACAGCCACGAGGCACAATGCAAAGCTTTATTTGGCAGAGGCAAGATATCTCCTCCCAGGAACTGCCAGATCATCTCACACGGAACTAGCCCTCGCCTTCCGACAACACTTCATCTCCTGTCTCCTCCTCTCTCCCTGGCCCCTGCTTTGAAAAGTCTGTTTTCCCCACAGCCACTGAACATTCATTGTTTACTCTTTATAAGGCAGGCAGGCTTAGATAGATGGGCCAGTTACTTAAGAATATAAGAACTTGCATAAAAAATACTACAGAATACTTTTTAAATACCCCATGATTTTATAACAATAGCCATGTAACTATATATATATAAAACGATGTGTATATAAAATATAGTCTTGGACTAGATGATCTTAAGGGTCTTTTCCAACCTAAATGATTCCATAATTCCATACATACGCAATAGTTAGGGTAACCAAAACGGGGTTTTCTTGGGCAGTAGCTGTTGCAGGGCTGTTTAGGAACGTCGCATGCCCAGTGTGCAGTGGGAACGGCAGACGTGGCCACTCTCATCCATTTACCAGTAGAGGGTCCCAGAAACAAAGATGTGCTGGAGACGGTTGTTGAGGTCACTTCTATGCCTTTGAAAGCACCCGCAACCTATAATTCATGCACCTAAATTTCCCCCAGTTCTAACTTGAAGCACGCGTGTGATTTTTTTGAATACTTGCCCACATCCTCTTTCAGATTACTTCAGTTCTGTAGGAAGCAACCCAACTTCCCCAGTCCATGTGTCCTGAAGCTGTGGCAGAGCAGGTCTGTTCTGCATCCCTCGTTAGTGACAGCAGTGATGCCCATCACGATTTGAGTCCTAGGTTTCTTTATGAATATAGAAAAGTCTTCTGTAAGTAAAACCACAGTTCCTCTGTGATCTACCCCAGTCATGAGAACTTTGGAGTCTCTGGGAACCCTTGCACATGAAGACAGCAGCATTTCTCATGAAAGGCATTGCTGGGAAAGGCAAGGGTATTGATAAGGCACAATATTTTGATAAGGCAGAATATTTGCGTCATCATTTCGACATGGGACACCAAAGGAATTGTCACATGAGCATTTACATGGTGCTAATGTGGCCAAGAGAGATCTCAGCCATCCCTGCAGGACAGATGTGAAGCCCAGGAGCTGGGTTTACTTTGAGAACATTTTGGATGCTTGAAAACTTGTAAAAAAGCCTGATGGGAGTCCAGCACTGACCACAGGCTCTCCATCTTTTCCTTCAGTGCTCTGTTACTCTTATACAAAACTTTGTGAATATAAAGATCTTCTGAAAAAACTGGGAGTCCCCTTGGTTAGAAACAGCTCTGCCTTACCGAAACCCAGATCCCTGAGCTGTTTCTGACATCTAACAGGAATCAGTGCTGCTAACACTGAATATAGTGGTGATGACTCTGGTTTCACAGTAAACGTAAGATATATTGACCTGTGTCACACAGCAAGTTAGATTTAAAGAAAAAAAAAATAGGTTTGGGAAACATTTTAGGCTTTTAATCCAATTTTATGCTCCATGTTATTCTGTACAAATGACCATGGTCCATTCTGATCATTAGTTGATCTCTTGGTGGCAAATCTGTTCATTTTGCCCCTTCATTCTCGTATGGATTCATTGTGGTCCAAAAGAGGACTAGAACCCAAAGAACAGGGGGCGGAGGGGGGAAGCCCATAAAACACAACTGGTCAAATGCAAGCTGTGGTTGACTAGAATTTAATTTCAGAAAAAAGCACAAAAATCATCCGGAGGGATTCTGGGGGTGCGGATAGTCCCTGCCTCTCCATGAACACTTCCTTCTGCTCTCTTGCTCTGCAGCCACCCACTGTGCCCCGCTGAGCTGCTTCAGGGAAGTGAACGTTCGAGGCGACCGGTGTGGGAACTGTGGCTGGAACGGGACGTACTACACAAAATGCCTGGAAGAGTAAGTTACTGGTGGTTACTGGTGTCCCAGTCCTGTCACTAGCCCGGTAGGACTGGGACACCACTCTTGTGCATTGCTGTACAAGGCATACAAACAGAACACTGTTTCTAAAGGGTTTTCAACTTGAATTTTTTTTGTTGGGATTAGGCACAACAAGAGAGGCAAAAGCAAAAACAGCATCAGGAAAAGGAGTGCAGCTTTTTGTATGTCTTCGAGGCTCTGCTAGGCTTTTCTGGTTGGTTTTCATGGGTCACACAATCACAGAAGGGTTTGGGTTGGAAGGGACCTTAAAGCCCACCCAGTTCCACCCCCCTGCCCTGGGCAGGGACACCTCCCACCAGACCAGGTTGCCCAAAGCCCCATCCAACCTGGCCTTGAACACTTCCAGGGATGGGGCAGCCACAGCTTCTCCCCAGCTATGTTTCTTGGTTACTTTTACCATTTTTCTTCTTTGTTCCCTCAAATATTCTGAAAACCAACTTCCACATCATAACGGTTCACACTTCATCGCATCTGTCTGTGCTACTGAATTTAAATTAGGTGGAGTTGGAGAGATCTTCTAAAAAACGCATGCTCGGTTCTGCAACTTCGCTTTCCTTACAAAGACCACAGAGATGGCACATTTTGTACAACATCGGCTGCATTTAGTCTTATGTAAAACCTACATTTCAGACTTTAATACCAGCAGAATTATTTCACCTGTGTATCTTTTTGTCCCATTATTTCCAAGATACCTGCCCCTTTCCAGGCAGATATATTAGGTGACAGATCCATCTGGTTGTTAATGTGGATGCTAAGGGAGAATATTGGGAAGACTTGCAAACATCTGTCCTTTACCTGTAATATTGCTGAGGAGCAGTAAGAAAAGTTACTGGCAGTCTGTCAATCTGTAATCGGAAGGGTCTTCTGCTCTGTCACCAGCCGTAGGTGGCTGAGTCCATCAGAAGTTTTGTTCTCGGCAACGGCATTCTCGGAATAATCATGTCTGTCTGCTGTCTCCAGAGAGGAAGGTTATAACCCCAAAAATGCACGCTTTTTTCTTGGGAAGCAGTTCTCCGAACTAAATATACATCCTTGAAAACTAGTAATTGTTGCTCTATACGATTTGGGCTGCACAAATGAGTGAAGAAAGCTGGCCTCAACCCTGTCTCCCCAGAAGAGAGAAAAATGTTGCTGGAAGCGGAGCGGCTGTTTGGGGGGGAAAGTGCCGCTACCAACACGGCTCCTCTCAATTCACAGAGAAAAGCCGATGCCAAGTTTTAGGTTTCTGCTAGGGTCTCCTTAACGGTTGCTTAGGTGTGCTGGGAGGAATAAACCCTTTTACACTTTCCATATCAAAAACCTCTCATACTTATTTATGCATACACTGACTACACAGTGAAGCCTCAGCCATTAGCTGAAGTAGGTGTTCAGCTCATGCTACTTATCCTTCAGTGCTATATTTGGATATTTCTTCATCTGCGTGTCCTTACCAGGGAACCACATGGGAAACCTTCCTGCTCGTTCGTTATGTCTTCAAATGCCTTACCACGCCATCCCAAAGACTCCTTGTTTCCACGCCTATATAGCATCTCTTTAGTCTCTACGCTGTATACCTCCAGGCTTTCTGCTGTTTCTCAGAAAGATAAGAACGCCGATAGCTCCCAAGTCGCAGTGGTGGAGGTGCCTTGGAGACCCAGCCCGAGCGCAGAAGGGAGGGAGCATGCAAGTGAGCATCTGCTCGTCTGGTGTGCACCAATGAATATCTGAACATACACGACAAACTGCTGTTTCCACCAATGTTTCGTTGTGCCAGAAACACCGCTGTGCACAGAGCATAATCTTCTTTGTTTCTCTCTTCCATTCCAAGTGTTGGGAGCTGCAAGGAATATGGGAAAAGCCGCTGGAATGCTTCTTTTACTCTTCTTGATTTTGGCCTTTCTGCTGTACAAGAGGGTTGCCATTGCTCGGTGGATCCGAAGGTAGGTAAAGCTCCACTAATCTTTACATCACCTGCCAAAACTGAGGCACAATTAACAATTTCTACCCAAGGTTCTCAGCATCCCTCTCCATGAAGAGCCCTGCTATGAGTTAACCATGCAACGCCAGCCACCTCTCTCGTGAACCAAGTTCCTCTTGCTTCAAAGACAACCCGCAAGGGAATGCAACCCAACGTGCTCCGATCTGCGAACACAGCTTTGTCACAACTGCCTCCTATCCCGAAATGGCAGCTAGAGCTTAATAGTTTTTAATCTTTCTGGCACTTTTAAAGTTTTACATAGAAATTTTGAAACTAAAATAGTTGTCTAACTTCAGGATGATTTTTCATAAAGTTTGGCTTTTTCTAAACGGCTCTTTCTTTTTTCTCTTTTGGAATGTTTAATCCTTTTTTTTTTACCTTTTCCTTTGATTTCCAGTTTTTCCATTCACTGAAAAACGCAAACAAAAGTTGAAAAAAGAAAGATTTTAAAATAGCATGTGGAGGATAAACTCTCTTATCCTCTTACTGGTTTGTACATTTTTCCCAGGTCAAATGGGTTTATAAGCTTAACTGAAAGAATACGGGAATGTGCCTGCCGACAGGGAGAACCTTCAAAATCCCAAACCAGAAAATGAACGATGACATTCCCCTCGATGATCTCTGCACACCCACATGCTTCAGATTTGCTGGGCTAACTTATTCTGCCAAGAAGTAGGAAAAACCACACGGAGCTTTGCTCTGCTCTTTGCAGCACCACTATCCAGCACCCATCTGCCTCATGTACAACCAGTGTAGGTATCTCTACCCTACCTTACAGTCTCCAGAGCAGATATAATAAATGCTTTTCCCTTACCACAGTCACCTGTGGTATCTCTGGATCTCAGGTAAGAGACAGGATTTAACTTAATTCATAGTTCTGTTTTCTTGTCATTTTACATATCCATGTCAGAGAACACAAATTCAAAGAAAAAAAACACCCAGTATTTCTCAAAAGGTACTTGTCCATAAACTAAAGCATCTTATTCTGCAGGAAATTACTGTCCAAAATTCCGATTCACTGAGCACTTTATGTTACAGGTGGCTAATTAGAAGACAGGAAAAAAATCGTAATAGCACCCCTCCTCCTCCTCCGAAACAAGTAAGTGTGATCTCCCGTCTCCAATTTAAAAATTACATTCTCAAAGGGGTTTGAAGAACTTTAACTTCTCAGTACTTTCCAAACATCTTTTTCCTTTCTCAGTAATTCTTGCTCCCCCAGTTATTTCAGTGCAAATTGAAAGCTGCCAGTGAGGACACACCCAAAGCCTGTGTGCAGCATACCTGCGGAAAATTGTGTGGGTTTATGTCAAAAGACAGTTTAGGGTAAAAATACCAAGTTCCTATAAACAGAAGTGCATTCAGACTGACTGCTTCAAGAGCTGGCATCAGCATGACGACAGCTGAAGAAAGCACAAACAAAATACTAGCCCTTGTCAGAAAGTAAGAATTTTGTCCACATCGGGACAAATACGAGATCTCTCCCAAAACGAGCAATATGAGGTGGCAGACATCATAGTGTCCTGGCAGGGAGCTGCCAGGCACAAGGGTCAAGTTCAAGCCTCTGCTCTGGTCCTGGCCATGGGTCTTTACTGTGGTGCTGGTTGCTATTGAGCAAGGCTGATCTATCCTCCAAGAATTTGGCTAATCTAAACTGTGTCAAAGCTGATGCAGTTCTATCTGAACAACTTTTCCAAGGAAAAGCTCCCTGGGAAAAAAAAAAAAATAAATCCTGCCTCTTCTAGTTAAAAGAGGAGGAGAAAACAGCTAATGAACTAGAAAGAGAAAATACAGTAAGAAGGAAGAGCAGCCAAGGTCTCACCTCGCCCCACATGCGCAGGGATCACCCACCCAGGAGACCCAGAGAAAAGCCCTGGGGTCAGAAATTCATGGTATTCAAGGAAAAACTGGAAGACATGGGTTCTATAATTTGAAGAGGTGACTGAGGGGATATTGGATAATAACCCCCAAATACGTTCAAGGCAACCACAATTGAGACCTTGTTTTTTAGGTTTATTGTGGGCAGAACAAAAAATTATGAGAGTAAACTGCAACACAAGAGATTTTGGCTAGGAAGAAGGGAAAAAATGCTGTGTTTCTTTTTACATAGCACTGAGGAGGTCCACCACACCTCATAAAACAAGTGAACCTAAAGAGACTGATGGGGAAAGTTATTTTTTTCTGTCAATAGTTAATTAAAGTATAGCAGTCATTGTCACAAGATGCTGATGAAATCAAGCACTGAACATAATGCAAAGAAGATTAGTCACATGGAGAGATAACAAGATTAATCGAAATTTTGACAAGAGTATTAGCATAGCCCACAAAATAAGTAAGAGGAGAGCAGTCTAGGAAAGGCATGCTAAGTCTGACATCTTTGTATTAGATGTCGTCTAATACATCATGTGTGGCCTCTAAACGCCACAGGAGTCTAGAAATGACAGATTTGATGAAATGCAGGTAAATTAATTCCATTGAGACAATGCAATTTGAGAATTTCACTACAATTTTGCAAACATTATAAATGAGAAAAGTCATTGAAGACAGAAAACATACATTAATTAAGAATACCAGGGAAGCACTGAGACACCAGGGCAGAGGTTAAAAACTCCAGCCCAGGGAACAAGCACAGAGAGGAGGTGCCCCAGTGACATTTGCAGTTAATATGCCTAGAAATGTAGCATACCACGAGAACTAAAGGAGTTATAAACAGAACATGAACTGCCCCAGATCAAAACCCGTCCAAAGCAGCATCTCATCTCCAGCATGCAGGAACAGCCTGGGGAAAGCATCATAACCAGGGCATGGTGAGTTGATCCTTGGCTCCTGAAGTTCTGCTGATGGCCACAGCTTGCGTCCCAACCACTGTATTTAAAGGTCCTGGTGCATTCACCCTCCACAAATGCATCTAATCCCTCTGACCCTACTTATCCTACTGTCTCCCCAGGATCCTCTGGCTGTGAATTTCACCAAAAAAAAAAAAAAAAAAGTCTTCACCCTCTGGAAGTGCATCCTTCCAAACAGTTCCAGTGTATATTCCCTAAAATTGTAAACACTGGACTCCATACCACCAGCACGCTAACAAAACAACCCCCATTTAAGTAGAACATGCCGTACTAACCGTAACAGTTTATTTTTCAGGAGAACTTAGCAGAGGAAGAGGGAAGTCCTTCTAAGGATTAAGCCACAGCAGTGCCTCTGTGCAGGACACAAGATCCCAGAGGGCTGAAGATAGCCTACGCACGGCTCTGAGAGCAGCCTCACGCATCGCTGGCTCTGCAGGAGCTGTCGGAAGCCACGCTTCCCAACCTGTCATCTCAGTTTGGGGTTTGCTCAGCTTTAAATAGCAATGTTACCTTCACTGAAATGAACACGTTTTCCTCCCATTTCTGTTTACGGCAAATATCTTGGAAGCTGGACTCCACGCTCCTCCCAAGGTTTCCATCTCTGCTTCCTAGGCATTTCATGTCTGCTGCGGCAGCAGCCCAGGCCATCACTTTAAGGGCCTCGCAGACTCTGCAGGCAGGCACTTGGCAGACTGTATCTCGACATTCCGAATTTTTTCGGCTGAGTGTTTTGCTTTCTGAGTCCAGAGCAACTGACTACGAACACTCAACCCTAAGAACGCAGCCCTTGCCTGTGGCCAGGACAAGCTCAACACTACAAGCCGGTGTGTCCCTGAAAGGACGTGCAGATTGCAGGATGGGTGGTTCAGAGTCCTTAGGATTCCTCAGCCTCCTTTTTCAGACTGGGTGATGGAAAGTCCACCTCCCGGTTCCCTACTGTCTGTTTGGCAGACTAAAGAGCAGTCACATCATTTCTTTGACTTCTCAGACATAAATGAAAAAAAGAAAACGCATTTCTGTTTGAAATGCTCATCCCTGAACATACTGAGCCATGCAGTTGCCTTGTATGGGTCTGGATTTCCGAGTCACAGCAGCGGATGGGGCTGGATGGGCTCTGCGGCCATAGAAATGTTCACAAGGTCTGCTGCGTTAAAAAACTGAATGAGAACAAAGAATGGGAAAAAGAATATTGTATCAGTGTGTTTGCCACAGAGGATCTCACACCAACTCTTGGTAGTCATTCCTGTTCTAACTTTCAGCTGATCTTCCCCCAAAGAGCACAGGAGATCCCTGTGGCTCAAAACAGCTAACTCCAAGACACAGTCCTGAAGAAATGGCTTTCCCACCTTGACCTGACGATAAGCAATGACTACAAGGGAAGTGCAATAGTCCCAAAATTATATTTTGCTTGCAGGGAGGTCCTGAAAACACCTCTATCCAGCACCTTCTCCCCGATTTTCATCAACACATCACAGTGACTGGCACTGTCTTGGCCAGAGTGAATTACTTTTTAACTCGGTCGTAAAGGCAGGCTCTTCAGGGCAACCAGCCTGCAAGAAAGGCAGGTCTACCAAACTTTCCAAGAATTCTTCACTTTGAAGTTTACTATAAATGTACAAGGGGTGATCTCTCTAGGTGGGCAGCCCACAGGGACATGAAAGAATGTTGAATATCTGCAGCCTGAGGAACAGCTCATTTCAGCAGTAATCTCATCATACCCCTCAGAGAAGGACTACTGACCATCACCTCTACTGTGCCCAAGACAATAATGCACTCAGAAACTTCTTCACCAAATAATGGATGTTCTTAAGATACCTGCACAGGGAAAAATTCTTTTAAGTGTTTGATAAATAGTATCAGCATCGAAATAAATCGGTTTTCTCTTAGTATAAGGCACTGGAGCCAGTAAAGCAATGGTGTCTTCAAAAAAGCAAATACTAGGTACCTTCATCTACGTTCAGAGGAGTCGTGCACATCTCATCCCAGAAGCCTTCATAAAAGCTCCTCTGATCATTTCGTCTTAGAGATGAGTTCTGTGAGGCACGCCAGGCTGCCTAAAAACCTTCTCACTCCCCTTTCTCTTTCTCCACATGCTTGCAGGGCTTCTGTGGTGACAAAT